AACTGGAGAGACGCTCAGAGTTTCTGCAGACAGAATCACATTGATCTGGTCAGTGTGAGGAACCAGAATGAGAGTCAACAGATTCAGAAGTTCATCAATGATAATCACATATCGACTGATGTCTGGATCGGTCTGTTCAGAGACTCATGGCAGTGGTCAGATCAGAGTAACTCCTCTTTCAGATACTGGTATACTGGTGAACCTAATAATTATGGAGGAAATGAAAACTGTACAATCATCAAATTGAACACTCAGGGTCAATGGCACGACAACCCTTGCAACAATCAGTTTCCTTTTGTGTGTCATGAAGGTGAGCAGATCCTCACACACACACACACACACACACACACACACACTCCATCCATCACCTCCAGATATCTTAAAGTTCACGCTACATGTCTGACATGACAGATTCCTCCACAGTGTGTGTTCTGCATGTTGTTTTTGATCAGTCTCTCTCTAGTGTTTGCTTGTGGTGTGTTTTGTGTCCAGATAAACTGATTCTGATCACTGAGACTCTGACGTGGACTGAAGCTCTGAGATACTGCAGACAGAATTATACGGATCTGGTCTCGGTTCATTCAGTCCAGATGCAGCGTCGTGTGATGAATGTGGTTAAACGTGCGTCTACTGAGGCGGTGTGGTTGGGTTTACACAACTACTGCAGCATGAACATGTGGCTCTGGTTGAGCGGAGAGATCGTGTGCTATCAGAACTGGGCTCCAGGGAACGGAACGACACCGGAAAACTGCAGCCTTGAGAAGAGAAAAGGAGCAGTTCAGTCTGGAGGAGATCAGCGCTGGATCAGCCTTCCTGAAACTCACAAACTCAACTTCATCTGCAGCAGATATTAGCACTGAGAAGATGACAATGTTTGTGTTCCTTATTTTTCTTATTTACTTTCATTTGTTTGATTTGTTCTTTAGTAATTTCTGAGTGAATCTTCTAATTACATTTTAATAGTCTGCATTATATCTCTGTGCTAATTATCTTAAAATAATGTGATCTTAGTAAAGTTTTCTGACATCAATGAATATTCTTTAGATGTCTAAAATACTAACACAATATATGTGTGTTTTAAGACTCTTTTTGTATTTCTGGTGTTTTCATGTGTCTTTATGTTTTTCACTAATCTTATCTGTATCAATAACTGTTGAATATGATTCTGTGAGCAGCAGCTCTTAAGAATAATCATTATTTGTCTGAAATCTGGTTTATATGTGAAGTGAAGTGGTGTCACAATGAACTGTCAATTAAATGTAATAAATAAGTAAAATGTATATTTTATTGTTTGTGTGTTTGGTTGATATTTAGGATATGATGTCACTTACAAAACATGCATATTTCAGTTTAGTGGAATAAATCAGTGGTGTGAAGTTTAGACAGCGAATTGATTTGGTGCATCATTCACAGGTTTTTGATTCAAGAGCAATTTTTGAAAGAAAAAAAAAAGGTTGGACATGATTAGGAAAAAAATACGACTAAAATTGCAACCTGTTCGTCAAATAAAGCAATCAAATTAAGACTTTGAATAGTGCACATGAATCATATACTATTTGTGCTACATTCATGAGTTTACATTTACATTTCACACAGAAATAGAAGATCGTTTAGAGAGATATAAGCGAGAGAAATATATTAGCCTACCAGGTTTTTATTATTATTATTATGTGGGCCAACTAGTCTTTTAATTCTGCTCTTGGGATATGGTATCATTCATTTATTTTGGGATATTGTAATCCATCCATTGCTCAAACCGTCTATTCTCTGTAGGGTCACGGGTGGACTGGAGCCTTTCGCTCCATCTCTGGCGGGGCAAACATCCTATACATACGGCCAGTAGAGGCATATAGCCTATGCACACATATTTTTTTCTTTTTGTTATGTATTATTTTGCAGCACATGGTAAACTATTGTCACGTCATGCCTGAGTTTAAGGTTTGTTTGTGTTATAATCTTGTTTCCTGGGGTCTGTTCTCCGTACAAGAATCACTCAATTGGATTTCATTGTTGACGATTGGACTTGATCCAGGATTTTTTGGTTCTTCGAAGCTCATCCTGCACTGTTAGAAATTTCTTGTAATTTTACAGGAAATTCCTGGCTAATAGTTGCCGTAAATTTACTGTAAACAGTATACAGGACTGCTATTGTAAAATAACTACAACAAGATACGTATTTATATAATTTAAACGTATTTATGTATTTATTTAATATGTATTTATTTATACTGTGTTATTTATTTAACGTAGGTTGTTACAATGCATAATGTTTCGTTACTATATGTGGCCTCACAAATTGCCCCTTGGGGACAAATAAAGTGTTTTGAATTGAATTGAATTGAATACTGTAATTTTACAGGATAGAATACTGTAAATTTTACAGCAAAATTTTATATTTACGGCAACTCAGTAGCCAGGAATTTCCTGTAATTTTAGGTATTTTCTGTAATTTCATAGGACAGCATATTGTAAATATTACAATTAAATGTTGTAACTTGGATAAATGTCCTCTTTCAGACTTCTGCAAAGAAAAACAAAACACTTTTTTTTTAAATATATATTTTTATTTTCTCTTAAAACTAATGAGAAAACGAGTCCACAATGCACATTTTGGATGTTTTTTCTCTGCCTGCCCATCTGGGGATGCCGCAAAAGGCTCTGAAAACAGGGAGGGAAACACACTTATCAGATAACATTTAAGACTGATATGACATGGTCATTACCATGACATGGAACATTACAGGGATAGTTCACTTTGATATACATTTTTGGTATGTTTTAGCTTACCTCAAGGGTATCCAAGATGTAGGTGTCTTTGTTTCCACAGTATTTTCAATTTTGATATCTGTCTGTCAGTCATGTAATGGAGGTACCACCTCAAAGAGCATGCACAGAGAAGTCCAAATTAAACATGATTTAATGACTCGTAAATGCAAGTACACATTGATGGCCTAAGACACGAAACGAGCGGTTTGTGTGAGAAAACGAACAGTATTTATATCGTTTTTACCTCATGTAGCCACAGCCATGTCCAGCTGAGCCGAACTGAACCGTGTCCAACGTCCCGCCGGAAGTGATTGCTTTCGTGTGTACGTCACTCATTGTTTACACAGAGATTTCGGAAGTTTTACCTTTCACTGTGAAGATCTAAACATATTTAGATGTACAGAAAATCGCAATGGAAGACGATTTTGATATATCTAAATATGTTTAGTGAAAGGTAAAACTCCTGAAATCTCTGTGTAAACAATTAGTGACGTACACACGCAAACGATCCCTTCTGGCGGGACGTTGGACACGGTTCAGTTCAGTTCAGTTGGACATGGCTGTATTATATGACTGATAGACAACAACGGTTTGACCGAAAAATATCAAAATTTAAACTACTGTGGAAACAAAGACACCTACATCTCGGATGCCCTTGAGGTAAGCTAAAACATATCAAAAATTAATTTCAAAGTGAAATATCCCTTTAACAATTACAAAATAACAGGACAGAGATGGGAGTGAGGGAATGGTTAATTTATTTGTATGCACTGCAAGTTGTACTCACATCAGACATAAGCATCCAGAACCTTCCCCACTCCTGGTGTATTCTGCTGTTGGAAGTACTATGATGTTCTGACTCCTGTTGTCTACGGCATCTGGCAGCTTCTCCTGGATAGGAATTCGGTCAGCTCACTGAAATGCGAGAACAGGCCCATGACGTGCTTTACGTCAATAACAGGAAAAATACATACAAAGAGCCATAACTACTTGTATAGGTAGTTTATTTAAGTTCGAACCTATTTGACAACATACTACCACAAAAATAAGTAAATCAACAGACCACAGAGCAGACCTCGCTCGCTCGCTCGCACTCACTCTTTTTCTCTCGTGTTCACCCTCACCACTCTCTGCATAACGGTTTAAACAAACAACAACAATAAATAAATGTTGAGTGCTGATCAAGAGTTTTGTGCAAGCAATTTAAGGTCGCGACGCTTGTCCCATAACGTTAGATGGCTTCATTCGGTGATTGAAATAAATATTATTAACATTAATTCAAGTTTTGCAGTATAGAGAAACGATATTGAACACTCCGAGCGAGCTTGTAACTTTTTCTTGGCATGAAACAGTAAATAATCAAACCAGTGGAAGCCTGCAGTGCATGAAACTGTTGTAACTAATCAAACCTATCATGCAATAACTAAGTTATACCCAGTCTATGGTTATGCCAGGCAACAGCGCGCCGCACCCAGTCGGAAAGCAGACAGCCGCGCTACCGCGGGGGTGTTTTTCCACATTCGAATATTCATTTTCAGTTTTTAAAACTTTTTGGCGTCCATTTTTTTCTCCAACTCGGATGCGCAAAACAAATAGAACGCTTGAAGTGTGGACAAATCCGAGGTCCGAGTTGGTTCGTTGGCTATAATAGAACGCACCATTATTCCCTGTCTGTGTCAGTATTTGTTATGGAGTCGTTGTTATGTCTGACACTTCTTGGTCTGTTCCTGATCGTTCCTTGTGTTTTGTTATTTTTGTATTTGGATTGTTCACACGGTATTTGACCTTTGCCTGGACTGGATTTACGCTTTACGGATTACCCATTAAACATCTATACTGCACTTGGATCTGCTGCCAATCTCCTGTGTGTATCGTGACAACTAAGGCTTCCTGTGATATCTTGGGGTTCGAATGAGGCACTGGAAATGGTGGTTGCAATAACTCAATAAGCTTTACTGAACACTTCCAAAGAACAGCGAAAATCCTCACACATCCACAGCTCCGTCGCACATTGCTGAGCTTCCTGATTACACTGAGTCATGTGACTATGAACCAATCACCTTACTGCCTTCGCCCCATGAGAACCCTCAAACAGTATAAAACCAGTTTATTACATTCCTCCCCTTTAAGCTTAAAACTGTGGGAAAACAAAAAACACACAAACGAACCAAACTTAACTTTCAAGATCTTCTTGAACCAGAACAGTCGTTCAATTTTTTATTATTTTTTACACCTTACAAGTCCAATCTCTTGGGAGCCTTCCTGATTCTCTCTGGATTTCTCCTTGGCTGCACTACGGGAGGTACAACAGCAGTGCTGCTATGGCTGCACAGAGGAGACGTAACATTGCCTGACAATGTTAGGCCCAGGCAGATGCCCTTCTCTGAGGAGTCGGAGTCAGGCCGTTTCAATTCGCTGGCCTCTACTAGATCAGGCTCTGGTGAGGCATCGGATGTAAGGTTCCGGCCCTCAAAAGGTGTACATGACTCCAATTCCTTGAGTTCTCCTCTTCTCCACAGCATGTGGTCCACATGAACTGATCGTTGTCTGTTTCCTTCCCAGACTCGGTATGTCACTGGACCTAAGCGCTTTATGACCGTCGCGGCAGTCCATTTCTCATCTCCTCCTCTGAAGTTTTTCACTCTGACCTGGTCGTTTTCCTGAAACTCTCTCAATTTCAGTCTGTCTTTGTCATGATAGAGCTTTTTCTTTGCCTGCTGATGCTCTATAGTGCGTGACAGATCTGGTCTCAAAAGACTGAACTGGGTGCGAAGTTCTCTCTTTAAAAACAGCTCAGCCGGGGAGCGACCGGTGACTGCGTGCGGCGTCGCCCTGTACATGAGCAGAAAGTTTGACAGCCTGTGCTGCAGCGAGATGCTGGGATGTCCCCTTGCGTCCAGAACCTGCTTCACCAGCGCCCTCTTCAGTATTTGCACCGACCTCTCAGCCGCTCCATTTGACGCTGGATGATATGGTGGTACCAGAGTTTGGTTTACTCCATTGTTGTCAAGGAACTGCTTGAATTCTGCGGAGGCGAATTGGGGTCCATTATCTGACACAACCTCTTCCGGAAGACCATATGCAGCAAATAGATTGCGCAACACCTCTATGGTTCTGCTTGATGTTGTGGAGGTCATGTGGAAAACCTCCAGCCACTTAGAATGACTGTCCACTATCACTAGGTAGTACTGTCTATCCTTCTCCGCGAAGTCCAGATGGATTCTCTGCCATACTCTGACAGGCCACCGCCAGGGATGAAGCGGTGCCACCGCAGGTACCTTCTGTACGGCCTGACACACAGCACAGTTTTGGACCAAGTCCTCAATCTCGCCATCCAACCCCGGCCACCATACATAGTTGCGAGCTAGGGCCTTCATCTTACATATGCCCGGGTGTTCATGGTGCAGGTCTTTGAGAATCTGCGGCCGGTGCATTTGAGGAACAATGACTCTGAGACCCCACAAAACACAACCTTGATCGGCTGACAGCTCATGTCTCCTGACAAAGTACGGTTTCAAGCTTTCATCATTCAGGTAGTTAGGCCAACCATTCATGGTAAAACTCCAAACCTTGCTCAACAACGGATCTTTGCTGGTGCCCACTTTTATGTCCTGAGCTGTTACTGGCAAGTCTTCCACATGTGAGAAGTAGAAAACGTTGGATTCTTGTGCTGTGCTGTCCAACTCGGTCACGGGAAGTCTGGACATAGCATCAGCATTAAGGTGGTCTGACGACTTCTTGTACTCTAGCTCATAACTGTAAGCCATGAGAATCAACGCCCAGCGCTGCATGCGCAAAGCTGCCAATGTAGGCACCGCTGACTTTGGCCCTAAAATAGCCAGCAAGGGCTTGTGATCAGTGATGAGAGTAAACTTACGTCCATAAAGATACTTGTGAATTTTTTTTACTCCATAAATGATTGCCAGCGCCTCTTTTTCTATTTGTGCATACTTTCGCTCAGCCTCAGTCAGAGTGCGAGAGGCGAACGCAACTGGTCTCTCATCCCCATTGTCCATCAAATGCAAAATGACTGCCCCCACCCCGTACGGGGATGCGTCACATGCCAATCTCAACGGCTTCTCTGTATCATAATGTACCAGAACTGTGCTACTCAGTAACATCTCTTTACCCTTCTTGAAGGCTTCTTCACATGCAGGCGTCCAGCTCCATTTTTCCTCTTTTTTAAGCAGAGTGTGCAATGGCTGTAGCACACTAGACAAGTTTCTCAGAAAACGGCCATAATAGTTCAACAGCCCCAAATACGCACGTAACTCCGAGACATTTGTGGGCTTTGGGGCATTCACAATAGCCTCCACTTTGTGCTGAGTAGGGTGCAGGCCTTCTTGATCTATCCGATGCCCCAAATACTCTACACTTGACTGTAGAAAACTGCACTTGGCTAACTTTGCTCTCAAACCATAACGTGCAAGAGAGCTCAACTCTGCATCCAGCCTTTTTAAGTGCAGGGCTTTTGTGTCGGCTGTGATCAAGATGTCATCCAAGAAACAAGTCACTCCATCTTGCCCTTGTAGGACCTGGTCCATCACTGATTGAAAAATTGACGGTGCGCTGGCAACCCCATAGCTAAGACGATGGTATCGGTACAGTCCTCTGTGAGTATTAATGGTTAAATACTCTTCAGAGTCTTTGTCCAATCTCAACTGCTGATAAGCATGTGAAAGGTCTAACTTTGAGAACCACTTCCCTCCTGCTAGGGTCGCAAATAAATCCTCAGTGTTGGGCAGAGGGTACGTCTCTACTTCCAGCTGGTTATTTATTGTGACCTTGTAATCCCCACAGATGCGGATGGATTTATCAGCCTTCGGTACAACTACGATCGGGGCCCCCCATTTACTATGATCCACTTTGGAAACTATTCCCTCTTTTTCTAACCTATCCAGTTCTTTTTCCACAGCCTCCTTCAATGAATACGGCACTGGCCGGGCTTTGCAAAAGACTGGCTGTGCATTCGTCCTTTCACTATGATGAGGGGCAGTGTAGCTTTCTGGTCCCCGTACTGCACTGGTGCCTGAACGTAGCCAAGAAGGGGAATGATTTCTCCTGAGTACGATTTTAATCTGATGTTGGACTTTTCAATGGGTAAATGCGGAAACATATTCTGGTGCAACACTTCCGATGCAAGGGACACTGATGCACCAGTATCCAACTGCATGCTAATGTCCTCATCACATACTTTCACCTTAATTTTAATGCCTCCATCCCCACTGGATGCCATGTAAACTGTAAAGACCCCTAATGGGTCATCTTCACCATCTACATTGTGATCCTCCGTTTCCACATACTGGGCCTTGGCAGTCTGTCTCCTATTCCGACATGCTCTGGAAATATGCCATGTCTTGGAACATGCATGACATTTCTCATTTTTAAATCGGCATTCCTGAGGTAAGTGTCCCCCTCCCCCACAACGATAGCATCTCTGTTCACTGTCCCCTTCCTGATAATTTTTCAGTTTTGGATTCTCATTTCCATGTCTAAACTGCCGTCGTCCTTTGCTTCCAAGATATGATTTAGAGACTTGATTTACAGCTGCAGCCTATACTTTTCCCAAGATTTCAAGAGAATTCTTCGACGCCATCTCCATTGTCAACGCTATTTCACATGCGCGTGTAAACGTCAGCTCTCTTTCCGCCAGTAGTTTTCTTTGAATCGATTCTGCGGACCGTCCACTCACAAGGCGATCTCTCAATGCGTCATCTAAGGGAGTTCCATATTCACAATCCTTCGACAATTGTCTTATTGCCACTATGTAATCCGTCACTGACTCTCCTTCCTTTTGATCACGTTTCTGAAAACGGAATCTCTCCGCTATGACCAAAGGCTTCGGCTGATAATGTGATTTCAATGTGTCAGTCAACTCTACATAAGTCATTTCCGCGGGCTTCTTTGGTATTACCAAGTTTTTCAGCAGTCCATAAGTTTCTGGTCCAATGCACGCTAAAAATACACTGACCTGTTTTTCTGCTTTTATTTCGTTTGCCTCTAGCCACAGTTCGAATCTCTCCAGGTAGGATGCGAAATCCTCCCGCGACTCCTTGAACTCTTCCACTCGTCCTATTAGCGCCATCCTCGTCGCCAATGTGATATCTTGGGGTTCGAATGAGGCACTGGAAACGGTGGTTGCAATAACTCAATAAGCTTTACTGAACACTTCCAAAGAACAGCGAAAATCCTCACACATCCACAGCTCCGTCGCACATTGCTGAGCTTCCTGATTACACTGAGTCATGTGACTATGAACCAATCGCCTTACTGCCTTCGCCCCATGAGAACCCCTAAACAGTATAAAACCAGTTTATTACACTTCCCACATAATCATCGTCAAATCTTTGATTTACAGTAAAGTAACGTTATATGCAGATATGTTGCAGGTCGTCAAGTAACAAGGTTAACTTATATAAAAACAAATTCGGGCTCTATAGAGGCTATTTCATTACTAATTAGTCTAACATGATAATTCATACATGCATCACAGTATGTCCAGATTTTGATTCGTAAACAGTTGGACGTTTTACATAATGTTTTATTAATATGAAACACAAACAAACAGATCCAACTACTAGATCCGCGAGCACTGGATAGTTTGCTTGAATGTTTAAACTGGTAAAACTTAAAAAGACATGAAAATGATAAATGTTAGTTGCGATGCAATGCTGGCCCGATCGTGCAAGTGAATATTCCGTCATGTCCGACTCCTAAACGCGAGTGTGTATCGACGCCTTGTGCAGAGAGAGAAGACGCAGCACCGCGAGCCCTGAATGTGGAAAACATCTATTCATGGCCGTTGAGAATCGGTTTTGATTCGACCACATTTTAAAAAACGATTAATCGGAAATCTATTTTTTTGCCCAGCCCTAGTAAACAGGAAGTCCACCGAATGTTAGAGCGTCTCGTTTGACAACATTCACTTACATCTTTGTGACCTTGGAAGGATTCAGTTCTGAATCAGGACACAGTTATAGTGTAACTTTCCTGTGGTTTCAATAAAACTAACAGATGAATACGACTGAATGAAAATAATGAAATATGACTAGAACAATAACACACTGTTTCTCCTGTTTCACGTCAGAGATGTAAATATTGTCCATCATGAACATAAACAAATGAGTGACGAGGATGTGTTTGCATGCAAATGTGTTTTATAACAAACAAATAAACCATGAACAGCAGGAGTGACACAAAACAAAATAAAATAAATACAAAATACAAAAAGAGATGAATTCTAATAAATGTAATTGTGTTTTAATGTCCAGCGGTCTCGTCTCTCAGAAGAAGAAATATAAGAGTAAAACAAGTCTTCAAACCCTCTTCTCAACACAAACTCTCTCAATAGTCAAACACACTCCTTCATCTCACACACGTTTCTTTCTCTTTGACTGGAGACTCAAACAGGGGTTTTTAAAGGCTCTCAGTAACCAGTATCACCAGTCTTCACTAATGAACTCAACACTCATCAATCAGATCATTAGTGGGTTGTTCAGTTCAAACACAAACAGGGAAAAAGAGACCAAAACCAGAGAAACAGAAACATACATATAGAGTTGAAGAGGGATGTAACACGAGTTATACAGTCCAGCATTGACATTAAAGCAGCTGTTTATTATTAATGTTCAAATGTAACATATGAATGTTAATATGTATATAACTTTCTGATTAAGGTCCATATTATTATTGACTGACAATATGCAAATAAAGGAAAAGATGTGGAAAAACTACACAAATAAGAAGGAGCTAAAATATGCAAATTCGTTTTAGAGAAATAAACAAATGATGTTTTGATCTGAATGAGGGATGAGAGCAGATATAATAATCACGTAGTGTAAATCTGCAGACAGAAACATCAGACTCAGGACAGAAACACACGACCTCTAAAGTAAGAACATGTTCATTCTTCAAACACAATTACACTTTCAGGTATTAATATTGTCTGAATGATTTATTCGTGTTGCTGTTATGTTACTGAAACTGTATTGTTTTAATCCAATTTGTGAATCTTTGATATCTGAGTTTTTCATTGTGTTTTTCCTCAGAAATGGAGCAAACTCAATATTTGATTCTTCTTCTCATTGGTGAGTGTGTTTGTGGTTTATAGTTTGATCAGGTTTGACCCTGTTATGAAAAGCATTAAATCAAACGCTCTCTTTCACAGCTCTCTGCTCCGTATCTGAATGTGTTCAGCGTCAGTATCACTTTATAAACGTGAACAAGACCTGGACTGAAGCTCAGAGATTCTGCAGAGAGAATTACACAGATCTGGCCACCGTTGACAACATGAACGACATGAACGAGCTGAATAAGAGTGTGAATGATGAACGTGTCTGGATTGGGCTGCAGAAGACGGGTGTTGATAAATGGCAGTGGTCTTCAGGTGAACCTGCGCTCTATCTGAACTGGAGATCTGGACAACCTGATGGCACAGATGAGTGTGCTGGGATGAGTAATGGACAATGGCATGATTTGTCATGTAGTATCAGACAGACTTTCATCTGTAATTCATCTAACAACAGTAAGTGCAGCTCCATACAATCTCAACAAACATTCATTTATAAATGATACCATAGGCGCCGATTTATGTTTTCCTCCGTGGGTGCTCATGGGCGCACGCCCTTAAAAAAAAAAAAAAAAAAAAAAAAGTAGTCAAAAAATGCTTGCATTTCAGAACCTTGGGAAATGAACAGCAGCCGACACGAACACACACTATTTACTTGATAATAAAGCCGTAAGGCTATCTTTCAACTCAGGTCAGCGCCACTTTTTTACAAATAGGCTACAGACAGGATTGGAGATGAAAAGTTTAACTAACCGCGATCAGCTTCGTGGAAAATTATGAATCAATGTCACACAAATCTGTCCATTTTATTCTCACTCTGAAATCTGATTCTAATTATCAAACGCCACTGTATAGTGGGTAATGAAGCGGGAATCTGCGGAATCACACTAAAAGGCGTTTTCACCCGAGAAACGCTGTGATTGGTGGATACAGGAGATGGAGCAGGCGACTGACAGCGAGATAACAAATCACAGTGTGACAGACGGGTCAGACGCTTCAAATAGCACCAACTGCAATGTTTAATTTTAAATGAATATTACTGGCTGTCTGGCACACGTGGGTGGGTGCTCGAGCCCCGGAGCACCCACGGTATCGGCGCCTATGAATGATACTATATTCTGTACACAATTACTGCAGTAATAAATGCTGCTACTTTTTAATGTGGTCATAAATGTAGAATATACTGATGATCGTTGTTACACTTTCAACTTCTTTATAGAAAATAAACTGATATTGAACACATTTGGATATTTGTTGTTCATAACTGTGGAAATCTGCCATTATGAGCCTAGAGAATTATCTTTTCAGCAAACTTTATACTGTAAATTTAAAATCGAAAAATATCAAACCATTGTTTTGACAAACATACTGTAAATTGTAATGAATTAATGAACGCATAACATTTCAACATATAAAAGATGTACAACATCTCGCCTCATCGTGATATTTACAACAAAATTTATAACAAAATTATTGTCCTGGGAACTAAATTCAGTTCGTCTTTTCAGTGATTTTATTGGTTTCACATGATACACATATTACAAGAATTTAAAAAAAATATATATGATTTTTTTAGCAGATCGTCATCAATTGTTATAAAATCATCTTAAAACAAACTTGTAACAATCGTCATTGTGAGATGAAATTTAACTGAACTCACACATCGTCCATTACAATGTGAAAAGCAATCAGAATATAAACAAGACAAACACTAATAGTGTTATTATTGCAACAATATTAAATTGTATTATTAGTCTACAATTCAACATTTAGAATTGGTTCTGATATATATTTAAGAGCTAGTTAACAAATTATATTTAGCTGCAGTTTAACATCTTCATCTGTTTGTGTTTCTCTCATTCAGCTCTGTGTGTCTGAATCCAGTATTACACAGAAATGTGTAACAAAACATGATGGAGAAATATAGTTATAGCAATATCATTATCACAAAAATTCACAACGGATACTTGATGTTATATCAGCAAAATCATCATGAATATAATTTGAATATGTAATATATCATCAGCTGTAGAAACAGTCTTTGAATGACACGTGTTTCTGATGCTTCACCGCTGCTCTTATTCACATTAAAAACCAAAACGCAACATGAGAATGATGAACAAACTGATTCATGAATCTGTTCACATGTGTTTTTCTTAAAGTGAACACAGGACTCGTCTTTGTCAATCAGATGAAGAACTGGAGAGACGCTCAGAGTTTCTGCAGACAGAATAACACTGAACTGGTCAGTGTGAGGAACCAGAATGAGAGTCAACAGGTTCAGGATTTCATTAGTAGTCTTGGGTTATCTGGATCATGGATCTGGATCGGTCTGTTCAGAGTCAGAGACTCATGGCAGTGGTCAGATCAGAGTAACTCCTCTTTCAGAAACTGGAATACTGGTGAACCTAATAATGCTGGAGGAAATGAAAACTGTGCAGTGATCAAACCAAACGCTCAGGGTCAATGGGCAGACGTCTCTTGCAACAACCAGTTTCCTTTTATGTGTCATGAAGGTGAGCAGATCCTCTCTCACACACACACACACACACACACACACGCACACGCACACACACACACACACACACACACACACACACACACACTCCATCCATCACCTCCAGATATCTTAAAGTTCACGCTACATGTCTGACATGACAGATTCGTCCACAGTGTGTGTTCTGCATGTTGTTTTTGATCAGTCTCTCTCTAGTGTTTGCTTGTGGTGTGTTTTGTGTCCAGATAAACTGATTCTGATCACTGAGACTCTGACGTGGACTGAAGCTCTGAGATACTGCAGACAGAATTATACGGATCTGGTCTCGGTTCATTCAGTCCAGATGCAGCGTCGTGTGATGAATGTGGTTAAACGTGCGTCTACTGAGGCGGTGTGGTTGGGTTTACACAACTACTGCAGCATGAACATGTGGCTCTGGTTGAGCGGAGAGATCGTGTGCTATCAGAACTGGGCTCCAGGGAACGGAACGACACCGGAAAACTGCAGCCTTGAGAAGAGAAAAGGAGCAGTTCAGTCTGGAGGAGATCAGCGCTGGATCAGCCTTCCTGAAACTCACAAACTCAACTTCATCTGCAGCAGATATGAAGAGTGAGATGATGACAATGTTTGTGTGTTTACTTACACTGTTTTCATTATTTTTATATTTACTTTCATATGTTTCTTTAGTAATTTCTGAGTGAATCTTCTAATTATATTTTAATAGTCTGCATTATATCTCTGTGCTAATTATCTTAACATAATGTGATCTTATTAAAGTTTTCTGACATCAATGAATATTCTTTAGATGTCTAAAATACTAACACAATATATGTGTGTTTTAAGACTCTTTTTGTATATCTGGTGTTTTCATGTGTCTTTATGTTTTTCACTAATCTTATCTGTATCAATAACTGTTGAATATGATTCTGTGAGCAGCAGCTCTTAAGAATAATCATTATTTGTCTGAAATCTGGTTTATATGTGAAGTGAAGTGGTGTCACAATGAACTGTCAATTAAATGTAATAAATATGTAAAATTTAGATTTTATTGTTGGTGTGTTTGGTTGATATTTAGGATATGATGTCACTTACAAAACATGCATATTTCAGTTTAGTTAAAAAATCAGTGGTGTGAATTTTTGGGTAGACAGCGATTTGATGCATCATTCACAGGTTTTTGATTCAAGAGCAATTTTTTTAGAGGCGGACAGAGTACACAGCTTTTTTACTTGAATAAAAGTACAGATACCCCTTGCTAAATTTTACAAGTAAAAGTACTACAGTCAGATGTCTACTTAAGTAAAAGTACTGAAGTACTTGTTTTTAAAAGTACTTGAGTATCAAGAGTACATTTTCTAAATATTGCATTACTACTGCCACAGTGCTTACATTTATGGACAGAAACGTCCTACACGGAGTTATGAAAAATTTTAATATTAATACCTTGGAGAGTGTGAAAGGACTTGAATGTAAAAATCAAGTCATTTTCATCTTTTTACCATGTTGCTTTATTTAACATTTTAGAAAATTTCAGGGAATTCATAAAATTGAAATAGTCTGGCGAGGTGGGGCCAGGGGTCGGCTTCATCCACTGTTTCGTCCATAGTTTCGTCTCTTATCTAAATCTGACCATCGAGTTGACTTTGGGGGAAAGCTGAAGGTGATTTCTGATAGGCTGTCCCAATCAGTGGCGCCTGCACAATCCAATCACGTTTGAGAGGGAAACAACAAACTGAGGGTTTCCAAGATTTTTCTTTTTGGAAGTAGTTTTTTAGAAATAGTAACAGGTAATCACGGTTATGGATAGAAATATAGTGGAATAAAGAGTACAATATTTCCCTCGCAAATGTACTTGAGTAAAGTCATGAGCACTCCCCAAAAATGATACTCGAGTAAAGTACCGATTTCTTAAAATTGTACTTAAATACTGTACTCAAGTAAATGAACTCCATTACTGTCCGGCTCTGAAAAAAGGTAGGACATGATTAGGAAAAAATACGACTTAAATTGTGACCTGGTCTTTTCATTTTGCTCTTGGGATATGGTATCATTCATTTATTTTGGGATATTGCAATCCATCCATTAATAATACGTTTACTTTATTTAGCGCCTTTCCCAAGGTCCCTTTACAGTTACGTACAAACACTTTAGAGTTCCCAAGGTCCCTTTACAGTTACGTACAAATAAACATAACATAGAAACATGATATAGAAACAGGACAGCAACAATAGAAATAAATTGAAATAGTGGTACATAAACATAGAAATTAAGGGAAACAAGTAACGAAAAGATACGTTTCAAGGTAAGTTTTGAAATTGTGTAATGATGAGAGGTCGCGGATGTGTTGAGGAACAGAATTCCAGAGAGTTGGGGCATCAGTACAAAAAGCCCTTCCACCAAATGATGATAGTTCGTGCCGTGGAATCGTTAAAAGACCGGTATCGGAGGATCTAAGTGTGACCAAGACCATGGAGTGCTTTGAATCTGATAAGGAGAATCTTGTAGTTAATATGAAAACATACAAACATAAAATCTGCGTTAAATCAGAGTAATGTGGGAAGATGATTTCTTTCTGATGTTCAGAAATGGACGCAAGCATGTGATATTACGAAGGTGAAAGAAGGCAGATTTAGTGAGAGAGGAAATGTGTGGAAGGAAGGAAAGAGAGGAATCAAAGATCATACCAAGGTTTTTGACAGTAGTGGAAGGTTGAACCGAAACTCCGGCAATTGTCAACACAGAAACAGGATGTAAATCGATGTGAGCCAATAAGAAGTAGATCTGTTTTATCAGTGTTGAGTTTGAGAAAATTACTTGTCATCCAAGCATTTATATCATCAATACAGGCTGATATGGAATCTGTGGGAAAAGGAGAATTGCATTGTGAATGGATGTATAGTTGGGTGTCATCTGCGTAGCAATGGAATTTAAAGCCATAATGACGAATGATGTTATCTAATGGGTGCATGTAGATGATGAAGAGAAGAGGCCCAAGAACAGAACCCTGGGGAACACCGTGTGGGACAGATGCAGTAGTGGACTCAGCCTCGTGGATAGAGAGGCAATGCTGGAGATCAGACAAGTAAGAAGTGAACCAAGATAGGGCAGTTCCAGAAACACCAGGAATACTGTGAAAAATTGTGTCGAACGCAGAGGAAATATCTAGAAGTATTAGAATACTGGTGGAGCCGGAGTCAGTGGCCATAAGGAGATCATTGACAACTTTGAGAAGTGTTGTTTCAGTGCTGTGGAGGGTGCGGAAAGTTGATTGAAAACATTCATAGTGGTTCTTAGATGACAGGTGTGTTTAAAATTGGGCAGCAACAGCTTCGTCAAGCAGTTTCGAGGGAAATGGTAGATTTGAGATTGGTCTGAAACTGGCCATGTTGGTGGAGTCGAGGCCGGGTTTCTTTAGGACAGGAGTGACAGCAGGGGAATCAGTGAGAGTACTAGGTGTAAAAGCAGCAAACCATTGCTCAAACTGTCTATTCTCTGTAGTGTCACGGGTGGACTGCCTTCTTGATGGGAGCTGTTTCCGCAAGTCACGGACGACAGCCCGAGAGGCCCATTTAGCTTCGACAGGGCGGCTTGCGGTCGTCGGTTGTCTGGGCCTATCTGTCGACTGTGGAGTGGCCATTCCGATCTAGGCTTACAGGAAAGTTTGGCTGATGCGCTGGGAGACCAAATGCTTGCTGGAAAGAGATAAAACCAGAAAGAGGAAAATGAGTACTCAACCGGGAGATTTTCTTACACTGCGTCCGCTGCACACTGGATGAAAGAGAAAACATAAGTACTCTTACCAGGAAAGTTCCCATTGCGTCCGCTGCCCGCTGGATGAAAGATAAAACATAAATACTCTTACCAGGAAAGTTCTCACTGTGTCCGCTGTGGGACCAAAAGCTCGCTGGACGGAAAGAGGGAGAGAAAAATGAGTTCTCAACTGGGAGATTGTCTTACACTGCATTCCTGGACGAAAGAGAAAACGTAAGTGCTCTACTGGAAAAGTTCTCACTGCGTCTGCTGTGAGACCAAATGCTTGCTGTACAAAAAGAGGAAACAGGAAAGAGGAACATGATTACTCGACCGGGAGATTTTCTCACACTGCGTCCGCTGCCCACTGGATGAAAGAGAAAACATAAGTACTCTTACCAGGAAAGTTCTCACTACATCCACTGGTGGACCAAAAGCTCGCTGGACAGAAAGAGGGAGAGGAAAATGAGTTCTCAACTGGGAGATTGTCTTACACTGCATCGCTGGACGAAAGAGAAAACGTAAGTGCTCTACTGGAAAAGTTCTCACTGCGTCTGCTGTGAGACCAAATGCTTGCTGGACGGAAAGAGGGAGAGAAAAATGAGTTCTCAACTGGGAGATTGTCTTACACTGCATTCCTGGACGAAAGAGAAAACGTAAGTGCTCTACTGAGAAAGTTCTCACTGCGTCTGCTGTGAGACCAAATGCTTGCTGGACAAAAAGAGGAAACAGGAAAGAGGAAAATGATTACTCGACCGGGAGATTCTCTCACACTGCGTCCGCTGTGAGACCAAGTGTGGACAGAAAGAGAGCGACCCCCGGTGGACAACCCAGGGGGGTTTAGTCAATGAGGGATTGGTGGGCTTTTTAAAGTGGAACCGGTTGGTCCTTGTTCATATTTTGTTTTACCATCTAGTACTGACCAGTCTGAGATGGTGGGGTGGATTTTTTAACACTATTAAGGTTGGTAATAATTCCTTCCAGCAGAAGTTCATACAGTGTGGCATGAAGATGAACACAACAGCCCTTTCATAATTTAAATTTAATATTGTACATAAGATTAGAGTTAAATTAGCCTTAACCTTTGAGAGATTACAACAGTAGGATCATAGCAAGCTTTTTCTGATTGTGTTAAAACCAAATTTGGGCATTCAATGAAATCTTTTCTGATACCGTAGGGCAATCTATCCCAAACCGGACTCATACAAGTAAGAATTATGACCTATGATGAAGTTCCAGGAATTCCCTATATGGACAAATGTATCCAATAAAGACACAATTGCAACTATATTGGTTGTGCTTGTATATTGTTGTTCAAGCAACATCAGTTTATTTTCATATCTGTAAATTATAAACAATGCAGTGCTAATTGCTACAGATAAGATTAGTGCCACAAACACACCAGATGTGCAAAGAGATTCTTGAAACACGCATATTGTGTTAGTATTTTAGACATCTGAAGAATAGTAATCAATGGTGTTAGAAAACTTTGATAAAAACCACAATTAGTAGATTCACTCAGAAATTACTAAAGAACAAATCAAACAAATGGAAGTAAATGAGAAAAATAAAGAACACAAACATTGTCATCTTCTCAGTGCTAATATCTGCTGCAGATGAAGTTGAGTTTGCGAGTTTCAGGAAGGCTGATCCAGCGCTGATCTCCTCCAGACTGAACTGCTCCTTTTCTCTTCTCAAGGCTGCAGTTTTCCGGTGTCGTTCCGTTCCCTGGAGCCCAGTTCTGATAGCACACGATCTCTCCGCTCAACCAGAGCCACATGTTCATGCTGCAGTAGTTGTGTAAACCCAACCACACCGCCTCAGTAGACGCACGTTTAACCACATTCATCACACGACGCTGCATCTGGACTGAATGAACCGAGACCAGATCCGTATAATTCTGTCTGCAGTATCTCAGAGCTTCAGTCCACGTCAGAGTCTCAGTGATCAGAATCAGTTTATCTGGACACAAAACACACCACAAGCAAACACTAGAGAGAGACTGATCAAAAACAACATGCAGAACACACACTGTGGAGGAATCTGTCATGTCAGACATGTAGCGTGAACTTTAAGATCTCTGGAGGTGATGGATGGAGTGTGTGTGTGAGGATCTGCTCACCTTCATGACACACAAAAGGAAGTTGGTTGTTACAAGAATCAGCATACCATTGACCCTGAGCATTATGTCTGATCCCTGTACAGTTCTTAAGTTTTCCTATTATATTAGGTTCAGTAGAAGCCCAGTATCTGAAAGAGGAGTTACTCTGATCTGA